GTTTTTCTGTGCCACACTTGAGGACACCAAGTAAATATAGCATCCTGCTCAATGAGAGCAAGTAGGAACTTCTGAGTTGCTGCTAAGTCACCACTCTGGATGCCTATCTGAACTGTAATCCCTTCATCTTTCAAGAAGGATTCTGAAAATGAGGAGAGGTTGCTAGGGGAGATAAAGCTTAAGTATCATAAACAACAGAATCTATAAAATAGTTTTCCCAAATGAGCTCAATTCTCAAGCCAGGAGCAGTTGAGTGTTTGACAGGAGATAAGGAGGAAGCCAGCAGGGATCTGCCTTGACCCCCTCCCTCAGACTTTCTTCCCAAGTATCACAGAAGTAAGTCCTCACCAAGAGTCTTCTTCCAACCTGCATTCTCAGGATATCTACAGCCCCAGTGTTTCTTCAGCCAGGGACCCAACCCTCTCATAGATTTGTAAACTCTCCTGGCTCTTTACTTGATGTAGATTTATATCCCTACCCTGAACCCCAAACGGAATGAGTCTTCAAGCAAGAATAATTGATTTAAATGACTTACATAATATGCTTATTTTATAAGTGGATTAGATTTTTATTTTGAGCTTTTAAAAAAATAGATATCCACATTTGGACTTCCCCAGTGGCTCAGTGGTAAAGAATCCACCTGCCAATGCAGGAGATGCAGGTTCGATTCCTGGGTTGGGAAGATCCCATGGAGAAGGAAATGGTAACTGACTTCAGTATGTTTGCCTGGGACATCCCATGGACAGAGGAGCCTGGAGGGCTATAGTCCATGGATCACAAAAGAGTGAGATGCACTTAGTGACTAAACAACAGCAAAGAAAACTACATATAGCCATAAAAAGACATTCACAACACAAAAACACAAAAAGAGTGTATGCAATGTGAACTCAGTTTTATAAAATAAATTATATATATTTACATGTATATGCTATGTATCAAAGTGTTAATTAACAGTGCTTACCTCAGAATGGAGACTATATTCTTTTTTTTTAATGTGCGGCAGAAACCACTATCTTCCAATATCCATTCTTCCTTTATTCTATAGTAATAGGACCTCCAATTTTAGTTGAGCATCTAGAATAACTAGCATATATTTAGCTACTGTATGAATAGCCACCTAGAATAGATAGCATATTTTTAAGCCTCTCTTACAGCTAGATGTGGTCATAGTAACTGTTCTGACCAGTGAGATATATTAAGTGGATGTGTTATTTATCACCTTCTAGAAGGTGTCCTTGAAAGGAACAGACATGCCTTCTTCTCTTTCCTCCTCCTTGCTGACTGGAATGTGAGCATGATGGCTGGTGCTGGAACAGCCATCTTGGACTCTGAAGTGGAAGCCATAATGCTGAAGATGTTGGAGCAATTTAGAGAAAAGAAACTGGGTCCTTGATGACTGTGGGCCATTGCGCCAGACCTGGATGCCCTATATCTACCTGAGAATTATTTTTCCTCTTCATCTTATATAATTCACTACTATTTTGAATTTTCTATCACTTGACAGCTGAACCAACTCCTAGATATTTTTGAAAGCTGAGAAATACATCTGGGTATATTGAAAACTCTGGTCCAAAATCTTATACATGGAGTGATCTTCCTAGCTGTGAAATCTTTCACTGAAACCACTTGTCCGAAGTTTCACTCAGATCTTCTCTCACACTCCATTCAAACATATCGCATCTTGTCAACACTTAATACTGTGTTTAGTTTTCTTTTTTCTTTTTTTGGTGGAAGGGACACATGGTCTCATCCCTAGTCCATAGACTGTCTTAATTTTAATTCAAAAGTTGTCACAACTCTCCTGAGAATAAGGTATTGATGTAGCTCCATTGCAACAACTTGGGAATATTTGTAGTAGCCTCTTGGGCTCCCCTCTTGGCTCAGTGGTAAAGAATCCCCTGCCAATGCAGGAGACGCAGGAGACATGGGTTTGACCCCCGGGTCACGAAGATCACCTGGAGTAAGAAATGGCAAGCCTCTCCAGTATTCTTGCCTGGAAGTTCCCATGGACAGAAGAGCCTGGTGGGCTATGGGGTTTCAAGGAGCTGGACACGACTGAGTGACTGAGCATGCATGCATGCAGTAGCGTTTTAGGTTATTAGAGACCTGTGAATGTAGATAAAACCAAAGTTGAGAAGGTTTAGGCAGCCCTTTCCAAGCCCAAGTGAGCTGCTTCTATAACATATTGAGACTGTGGCCTGTGAAGACCAACAGGAACGCCATAGTGTGTGTGTGTTGCCCATGCTTTACATGGGTGTGTGGTGCTCATATGTTGTGTGGTGCTCATATGTTGTGTGGTTTTAACATTTGGGTGATAACACATGTGTTTGTGAGGTGTTTGTGTGTTCATGTGGTTTTGTGAGCTATGAATTTGCGCAGCCTATGTGTTATATAGGGGTGTGTATTCGTGAGGACATATATTGTGCTTCTGTGCCACATAAGGATGAGTGTGTGTGTGTGTGTGTGTGCATGCATGCACGTATATCATGTTGACATGTGTTTGCAGTGTCTGGATGTGTGATCTTGTGCTTGCACACACACATGTGTAGTCCTGTTGCATAACAGTGACAGAAGTCATTAGTGGGTCCTAAAGAAGGTTGCGGTTGTTTTAGGAGACATGCCAGAACCAGTCATATGGAAGAACCTCCACCTCCATCGTTCCACCTCCTCATACAGTTCTAGATCCTAGGTGTCCCCATTCATTCCTATTAATAATAGAGTGTTTACATTACATTTGATTACGTAAACTGCAGGCAGGCACCAGCAATTTAATTTTAAGTTGGCTTCGATTCAGCTGCTGCTTTTGCTTTTGCTGCTCGAAATGACTAAAAGCCATTTTAAGTTAATTTTTTCCCAGGCATTTGCTTACACTGTGAAGGGAAAATTATTCTGAAACATAAGGAATACTTAAAATAACAAAATAAAAGGGAGATATCAGATGAAGAAAAACATGTTAACGAAATATAGTGTTGACATTTTAGCTATTCTCATACTCTTGGTGTGAACAATATTCTTCGGCATCTTACTCGTCACTACTGTATCTCCACAAAGATTCCACCATTTCCTGCTCTCTGATTCACTCACTATGATGACTGTCATTCCTGAGCAGGTCTGGATTCACAGGATCCCCCTAAAAGGGGAAAAACCATGCCCGTGGGAATATTTACAGATTACATCTCTATGTACCTAGAGATCTCTGATTCTATGGGATCATCTGACCTCTTGAAGTTTTTCTCACACAGACCACAAAGATGCTCATGGCCTTGGAGGTTTCTGAGGAGAGGATGCCCAGACTCTGCATTTCCACTTTGTGCCAGGAAGGGCCAGGTGCCCCCATTGGTGGCGCTGTTGAGCACTGTCTGGGAGGGGCACTTGTCCCACTTCGCTGTGGGGAGGAAATGGGAGCCACAGGCAGGCATTGGAGGGTTTCTGGAGCCTGGTGTTCCTCCTGGCTGCTTTTGGCCACATCTGAGAATGTGCCTGGACTGCAAACATGGGATCACTGGCATGTGGCCATTATGCATACAACCCTGTGAGGGATAGACTGTTACCCTTATTTTAAACAGAGGTTGAAATTCCCTTGTCTAAGGTTATTCATGTAGTAAGCGTCCATAATGGGATTTGAATCCAGACAGTCTAGTTTCAGAACTCTGCTCTTAATTCAAGCTCCCTCCTGAACACTTGTAACATGACCCATGCAGAAACCGGGTGGAGATGGAGGCACAGATTTGCCACCTGTTCTGAGCGGTTTCGAACCAAGAACTTCCAGATGTCTGAGCTGGGTTTAGAAAAGGAAGAGGAACTAGAGATCAAATTGCCAACATGCACTGGATTATAGAGAAAGCAAGGGAATTTCAGAAAAACACCTATCTCTGTTTCATTGATTGCGCTAAAGTTTTTGACTATGTGGATCATGATTAACTGTGGAAAGCTGTTAGAGAGATGAGAATACCAGACCACCTTACCTGTCTCCTGAGAAACCTATTTGTGGGTCAAGAGGCAACAGTTAGAACCCTTTATGGAACAACTGATTGGTTCAAAATCAAGAAAGGAGTGTGACAGGGCTGTCTGCTGTCACTCTGCTTGTTTAACCCATATGCTGAGCACATCATGAGAAATGCCATCCTGGATGAGTTACAAGCCGGATTCAAGATAGGTGGGAGAAACATCAACAACCTCAGATGTGCAGATGACACCACTCATATGGCAGAAAGCGAAGAGAAACTAAAGAGCCTCTTGATGAGGGTGAAGGATGAGAGTAAAAAAGCTGCCTTAAGACTAAATATTAAAAAAACCAAGATCTTGGCATCTGGCCCCATGGCAAATAGGAGGGGAAAAGGTGGAAGTAGTGACATTTCCTTTTCTTGGGCTCCAAAATCACCATGGACAGTAACTGCAGCCATGAAATCAGAAGATGATTGCTTTGGCAGGAAAGCGATAACTAACCTAGACAAGTGTACTGACAAGCAGAGACATTGCTGTGCCAACAAAGGTCCGTATATTCAAAGCTATGGTCTTCCCAGTGGTCATGTATGGTTGTGAGAGCTGGACTGTAAAGAAGGCAGGACGCCACAGAATTGATGCCTTTGAACTGTGGTGCTGGAGAAGACTCCTGAAAGTCCCTTGGACAACAAGGAGATCAAACCAGTCAATCTTAAGGGAGATGAATATTCACTGGAAGGACTGTTGCTGAAGCTGAAACTCCAGTATTTTGATCATCTGGTGAGAAAAGATGACTCATTGGAAAAGTCCCTGATGCTGGGAAAGATCAAGGGCAGAAGGAGAAGAGGATGTCAGAGGATGAGATGGCTGGACTGCATCACTGATGGCAATGAACCTGAACTCTGGCAAGCTCTGGGAGATGGTGAGGGACAGGGAGCCCTGGCATGCTGTAGTTCATGGGGTCACAAAGAGTCAGACACAACTGGGTGACTGAACAACGACAAGTGAGAGGTTGAGCTCATGAGTTGAGCTTGGTCAACAGCCTAGCAGCCTGGTATGATGTTGTTCATTTATTAGGAATAACCTTGTGAAATTAAGAAAACTCTCTTTCTGGAAAGTGTTTAAAATGTTGCCAGGTAGCATAGGGAGAAACTTAGTTCTCTAGAGAGGATTTCTGTCCGCTCTCACAGATAATGAGAGAAATCATCGGGACATCCTTTGGACTCTCCTTGCAAAAGAGAACCGGAAACTGAACACTTCTCACCTCCTCTCTGGCTCATCCTTGAGCACCTCCATTCTATTCTCAACACTGAGGACAGAAAGAAGCTCTTTTAAGGTGAAAGTTTGATTCTGCCCCTCCTCCACTGTGACGACTCTATAATTGCACCTAGGACTCCCACCCTCTGATTTCCCCATTTCTACTTTTTCCTGCTCTGTATTTCCCCCCAGTCCTAATCGACTTTCAACATACTGTATAATTTCATTATTGGGTTGGCCTGTAAGTTTGTTTGGGATTTTCCATACGATATTACAAAAAACCCAAACAAACTTTCTGGCTAACCTAGTATTTATTATGTTATTGTTTCTTTTCCCCTCCCGCTAGAATGTAAGATCTTTGAGGGCAAGGATCATTGTATTGCTTACTAATGTATTCCAAGTGCCTAGACTAGGCTGAAAATAGTGGACCAGGGGACCCTTGATGTTTCTTTTGAGGAAAGGAAGTGCCAACAAACATGGACATGAGTTATGAGAGATTTATAAATCTAGAGTTCAGGGAAGGGCTCTGGGCTGGAGATATACATATGGGACTCACCAGCTTATAGGTGGTGTTTGAGGCCACAGGTCTAGATGGGATCACCAGGGCAGCAGAAGGTTATGGACAGAGAACAGAACTGGTACAGGCCTGAGCCATAGGACTTCCTCTGTTAAAAGGCAAAGCGATGAGAAAGAAAGAACAAGGGAGGCTGAGAAGAAGGAGCCGGAGAGGTAGAAAGAAAAGTGGGAGAATGTGATGTGCTTGAAGTCAATTGATGGAAATGTTTCAAGGAGGAAATGATCAGCTACATCAAATGGGTTAAGTGAGGCAAGGACTGATTACTAGAGAGAAGAGTTCATTTGAGACGTTGATAACCAGTCACCAAGTACTCCTGTTCTTTCTCCAAATTTTCTCTCAAATCAACCCCTGCTGCTCACCCTGTTTCAAGCCACCATCTTCTCTTGCCTTGAAATTGCTGAAGTCCCTTAACCAGCTCTGCTTCAGCCTAGACCTGCACTTTCCATTACAGTAGCCATTAGTCACATGTAGCTACTGAGCATTTGAAAATGAGGCCAGCATGATTTGAGATGTGCTGTAAGTATGCACTGAATTTTGAAGATTTTGGGGGGGGGGGGAAGAAAGAATGTAAAAATATCTCACTAGTAATTCTTACATTCATGCTTGTCTTGTTGAGATGATAATAATTTGGGGTTTTTTTAGTAAAACAAAATGTATTCTTAAGATTATTCCTGGATTTTAAATTTTTTGCATTTTTAAATGTGGCTGCTAGAAAATTTAAAGTTACATCTGTGACTTGCATTTGTGGCTCTTATCATTTCTAATGGATAGTGCTGGACTAAATCATTTTCCACACTGTACCCGTGGTAATCTTTTAAAAGGACAAATGAATCATGTCACTGCCATGCTTCTCCCCTTCAGTAACTTCCCACGGCTTTTAAGATAAAACACCATGTCTTTAACATGTAAAGCTTTGAGAAGGGGCCCTGCTCTGTTGCCCCATCTCCAGACACTCTCTCTCTTGTCGGGGCTCAGGGCACATTGGCCTTCCCTCCCACCTGAGGTCTGCTCAGATGCAGCTCTCTCTGACTGAAGTCCTCTTTGCACTGCTAACGCATCTCCCTAGACTCAGTTTAAATGTTTCCTCCTCAAGAATCTTTCCCTAGCCTCAGTCTAGGTTAGGTACTCCACTTCTCATCTCATGCCTCCCTCCGGAGCTTGTCTCATACAGCGCTGGTTTAACTTGCCCACCACTATTTGCATAATCAATTTTAATCTTTCTCCACCAGACTGAACATTCATTATTTTGTTTGCACTTAACACAATTAACAAAATTGAGTTCCGATGTTTTACATTATATTGATCCACCTTGAGATTACTTCTGCTCTGTCTTTTTTCTCTCATGAAAAAAAAACCAAAACACAGAACTTTATTTTAAAGCAGTTTTAGGTTCACAGCAAAATAAGAGGAAGGTACAGAGATTTCCCATATACCCATTGCCCTTACATGTGGGTAGCCTCCTTCATCATCAGTATCCCCCACCAGGATGGTACACTGTTGTAACTGGTGAGCCTACCTTGACACATCATTATCACCCAATGTCCACAGTTTATATTAGGATTCACTCTCGGTGTTGTACATTCTATGGGTTTAGACAAATGTTTAATGACATATATCCACAACAGATTTCCCAACCTGGGGGTCTGGCAAAGGGACTGAGAACCCCCAGGGAATTTGACTTTGGAGGACAGTGGGATTTGATTACAGAACTTACACAGGACTGGAGATAGAGACTCTTGGGGGGCACAAACAAAACCTTGTACCCACCAGAACCCAGGAGAAAGGAGCAATGACCCCACAAGAGACTGACCCTGACTTGCCTGTGAGTGTCCAGGAGACTCCAGTGGAGGCATGGATCAACAGTGGCCTGCTGCAGGGTCAGGGGCACTGAATATAAGACATTTTGAAGGAGGTCGCCATTATCTTCATTATCCCTACCATAGTTTGGTCTTAGGTCAAAAAACAGGGAGGGAACACAGCCCCACCCATCAACAGAAAATTGGATTAAAGATTTACTGAGCATGGCCCCACCCATCAGAACAAGACCCAGTTTCCCCCACAGTCACTGTCTCCCATTAGGAAGCTTCCATAAGCATCTTATCCTTATCCATCAAAGGGCAGACAGAATGAAAACCACTATCACAGAAAACTAACCAAACTGATCACATGGACCACAGCCTTGTCTAACTCAACACAACTATGAGCCATGCCGTGTAGTGCCACCCAAGACAGATGGGTCATGGTGAAGAGTTCTGATAAAATGTGGTTCACTGGAGAAGGGAATGGTAAACCACTTCAGTATTCTTGCCTTGAGAACCCCATGAACAGTATGAAAAGGCAAAAAGGTATGACACTGAAAGATGAACTCCCCAGGTTAGTAGGTACCCAATATGCTACTGGAGAAGAGTGAAGAAATGATTCCAGAAAGAATGAAGAGACAGAGCCAAAGTGAAATCAACACCCAGCTGTGGCTGTGACTGGTGGTGGAAGTAAAGTCCGATGCTGTAAAGAACAGTAGTGCATAGAACCTGGAATGTAAGGTCCATGAATCAAGGTAAATTGGAAGTGGTCAAACAGGAGATGGCAAGAGTGAACATTGACATTTTAGGATTCAACTAAAATGGACTGGAATGGGTGAATTTAATTCAGATGACCATTATATCTACTATTGTGGGCTAGAATCCCTCAGAAGAAATGGAGTAGCCCTCATAGTCAACAAAAGAGTCTGAAATGCAGTACTTGGGTGCAATCTCAAAAACAGAATGATCTCTGTTCATTTACAAGGCAAATCATTCAACATCACAGTAATCTAAGTCTACGCTCCAACCACTAATGCTGAAGAAGCTGAAGTTGAATGGTTCTATGAAGACCTACAAGACCTTCTAGAACTAACACCAATAAAAAGATATCCTTTTCATCATAGGGGACTGGAATGCAAAAGTAGGAAGTCAAGAGATACCTGGAGTAACAGGCAAGTTTGGCCTTGGAGTACAAAATGAAGCAAGGCAAAGGCTCACTGAATTTTGCCAAGGGAATGCACTGGTCATAGCAAACACCATCTTCCAACAACACAAGAGATGACTCTACACATGGACATCACCATATGGTCAATACAAAAATCAGATTGATTATATTCTTTGTAGCTGAAGAAAGAGAAGCTCTATACAGTCAGCAAAAACAAGAACACGGGCTGATTTGTGTCAGCCACAACCACATGATCTGTGGTTCAGGTCATGAACTCCTTATTGAAAAGAAAGAAAGGTTAGTCACATAGTCATGTCTGACTCTGTGATTCCATGGACTGCAGCCTGTCCTGCTCCTCTGTCCATGGAAGATGTCCTGCTCCTTTCTGTCCGCTCCAGGCAAGAGTACTGTATTGGGTTGCCATTTCTTTTTTCACAGGATCTTCCCAACCCAGGGATCAAACCCAGGTCTCTGGCATTGTAGGCATATTATTTTACCAGCTGAGGCACAAGGGAAGCATAGACATAACCTTAGGAGTGGGTTCCACTGGGGATCAAAACCAGGACCTTCTGCATGTAAAGCAGATATGCTAACCACTACACTATGGAACCATGAGCTATTCAGAGTTAAATTGAAGAAAGTAGGGAAAACCACTAGACCATTCAGGTATGACCTAAGTCAAATCCCTTATGATTATACAGTGGAAGTGACAAATAGATTCAAGGGATTAGATCTGATAGAGTGCCTGAAGAACTATGGATGGAGATTCATGACATTGTCCAGGAGGCAATGATCAAGACCATCCCCAAGAAAAGAAATGCAAAAAGGCAAGATGGTTGTCTGAGGAGGCCTTACAAATACCTGAGAAAAGAAGAGAAGCTAAAGGCAAAGGAGAAAAGGAAAGATATACTCTGAATGCAGAGTTCCAAAGAATAGCAAGGAGAGATAAGAAAGCCTTCCTAAGTGATCAATGCAAATAAATAAAGGAAAACAGTAGAATGTGAAAGTCTAGAACTCTCTTCAAGAAAATTAGAGATACTAAGGGAACATTTCATGCAAAGATGGGCACAATAAAGGTCAGAAATTGTATGACCTAACAGAAGCAGAAGATACTAAAAAGAGGTGGCAAGAATACACAGAAGAACTATACAAAAAAGATCTTCATGACCCAGATAACCACGATGGTATGATCATTCACCTTTAGAGCCAGACGTCCTAGAATGGGAAGTCAAGTAGGCCTTAGGAAGCCTCACTACGAACAAAGTATTAGAATTCCAGTTGAGCTATTTCAAACTGTAAAAGATGATGCTGTGAAAGTGCTGCACTCAATATGTCAGCAAACTTAGAAAACTCAGCAGTGGCCACAGGAATGGAAAAGGTCAGTTTTCTTTACAATTCCAAAGAAAGGCTTTGAAAAAGAATGTTCAAACTGCCACACAATTGCACTTATCTCACACACTAGAAAAGTAATGCCAGACTGGATGAAGCATGAGCTGGAATCAAGATTGCCAGGAGAAATATCAATAACCTCAGATAGG